ATAATTGTTAAATCGATATCAAATCTTACATACGTAATTTGATAACTGTTTAACTTATTTATTCTCACTCAGTATTTTTCGAAACAAATAATAATTTATGTACTTAATATTTATAGTTATTGATTAATAATATAATTAATTACCTATCAAGTAAATTGTTGCCGATTTTTACCAGGAAATATGCAGATTAGTTTATAACATGTTGTTATAAAGTTTGTTTAGTTAAGATTCATATTAATTAGTAAAACTTTAAGCCAAAGCATAATATCTTCATTAAGAGTATATTATAATATTATATTTATAAGCTTATTAATTATTATGTATTATACTCAAAACGAAGTTAAATAATCATTTTTTCCTGGATTATTTAGTGTATTAGTACTTAGTGGACTTTATGCATGCACGTCTGTTTCTTATTAATTTTTATTAAAATACTTATCAATTTTTTTATTCCATTAATTCTGATTCTATTAAATTATTTTTAAATGATCCCTTATTATCCCGTATTCGTCACACAATATTTTTTTTTTGATTTTATTATATTTTATTTTTTTCTATTCCATTTATCTAAAGCTCGTGACAGATTTTTATTTCATGAAATTAATATTTAAAGTTTAAGTATTATTCTCATTTATTTATGTAATATTTATGCTTTATATTATTTTACAACGATCTTATAATGTATACGCAAATACATATTAGTATATTTAAAAAAAAAAAAATTAGTATTAAAAGAATTCAAAGTATTTTTATTGTCTAATGCTTTTAAGTACAAGCTGATAATAAACTTCTTTACAAATTATCTCTTTTATATATCGTGTATAAAACAGATAACATAAGTATTAACAATAAAATAATTATGTATTTCGTATTCAAAGAACTGAATTTGCATTGTAAAATATATATTACGTACAAATTATTTTATTTTTAAATTTTAATAAACGATGTATTTCTATTATACTCCTATAAACGTTTAACATTAAAAAATAATATAGGATTATAGTTAAATTTACTGAATGTTTTAGTACTACTATTTACAAGTATATACGATTGAGGATTTTGAATAATTATTAAAATCTAATTAAATAATACAGTGAACATTTCATTTGGTTTTTAATCACTATTTTAAATTAAATTTTTATATTTCTATAAAATTGTATTATTTTTTTTTATTTCTTATTTATTTGAAATTTTAAAAAATTGTTTCAGGTTAGTTGTATATGGCCCTGTCTGACAAGCTCGGCTGCAACAGGTAAAACAAAATGTAATTTTGCTTCAATTATTATTTTACTATTTAGTAGGTTCTGCAACTATTTATCTTATTATATAAACCATTTTAAATGTTTATATTGGCATAGGTGTGTACTACATGCATCGTTATGAAAAAATACCTACAATTAACTATATGATCGATATTAACCGGTAAAAACAATTGCAAAATTTGTTATGGTTGCAGCAGATTGGCATCGGTTACTATAATAGTTACTTGTATTGTGTATATAATATATAAATAAAATATATTCATATAATCAACACAATAAGATATGCGTGTATATGTATCAGATAATTTAACTATTAAGTGATGCATTGAGAATAGTAGGTTATCGAAAGTCTTAACCGTGGAACACTGTCCTATCTTCCAAAATTTATCGTGTGAAGTTCAATTGTGTTTTGTAGACGGCTTACATAGACGACTATTAATTGGTCAGGTCGGTGAATGAATAGCGAGTTTGTTAAGCAATACATGCAACTTTGTTATACTCAATAGTATATAGGCATACGTATACATAGTGGGAAATGTGAAAGGTGAATTATTGGCCAACTTTGATTTGTTCTATTTATTTTGAATTTTATGTTTTGTTAAAAATTGTTCAAACTGATGAATTGTGCAGAATTTAATTGAATGATGTTACTGTACCTATATGTCTGGTTAGCACTGCTAAAATATGTATGTGGTTGTTCAATTTAATGACATTAATAAAGATTATTCATAATGTACAGATATAGTATTGCTATTCGGCTATTATTTAATAGTGCAATTGTTAAATAGGTATAAAACAAAAAGTTACCTGCATTCGTGTCTGTTTGATAAAGTAATTAAATTTAAAAAAAAACTAAATAGTATGAACATTGTGATAGAGTATTATTTAAAACAATTTTTTATGAATAGTTAGGTTAAGTCGCACAATGTTTTTGAATGTTATTTATAATTTACATGTTTAATGCAGGTAGATATTAAATTAGTGGACTATAAAATATTGACAGTTAATATCTACATTATAAACTGAGCAAAATTTCTAATTTAATTCAATATATATATATATTTGAATCTTATATTGCAATTTACAGTTATTTGTCGTTTAATATTATGTTCACATCGTGGACTAATATGAATTCCATCTTCATTGAATGAATAAGTTTATGCTCATTTTACGAATTAAACATTGTGCTTGTAATAGCACCTAATGTGCTGAAACATTTTAAATAATATAAATAAAAAAAAAAAACGGATTTAACTTATTGTAGGTTAATAGTGATGGAGTATGGTTAACCCCATTTTGATAGTGTAAACAATAATTATTATAAAAAAAAAACGTTGACTATACCTATATTTCAATTACATTTTGAATAGTTAGACTACAATTAAGGAAATAATTAATTCCCATAACCTATTTAGTGAAAACGAGTTAACCAAACGTATTTTACACTTTTCATTTATGAATAAATAATGTTTTAATAAACGCATTTAAATATTCCTACACAATTAATTAAAAGTATTATAATATGACATTGATTGATCCAAATATATCAAAATGTTTATATTAAATTATAATAACATGATTAGATATAATTCAATATGTCAATATCCAATTAAATGAGTATACAATTCATTTGTTAGAACTCATTGTAGTTTTCAACAATTCTACGAATTTAAATTAGTTTTTATTTTTGAATTTATATTATATTATATTAAAATTAATTTTCTTTGGAGATGGATGAGTGATTTTTTGATTAAAAATATGTATTATTTAATTTTGAATGTTTCCACGATAACTTTTACAAAGTAGGTATAAAGATTTTAGTTGTGTACAATATGTTATTATGAAAATATTTAATAATTTATATTTTATATAAACATATGTTAGAATAATATATTAACAATAACATATTCTAAAACTTGTTTTATCTATCAAATGGAATCTGGTTAATACAAATATACTTTATACATATACATTTTTCGAAAAGTTATTTCACTATAGTATTGTATTTTATTGTTTCCTACTTGACCTTAAATGGCGAAATATTTTATGAAATTATATTTCATTGAAAACACAAAAAAACATTTCTGTTTATGTTTAACTTACTAATGTTTCCTAATATGTTTTCGTGTAACATACTGTTGCCGTAGTGTTCAAAAACGTATGATAATATTGTTATAACAAGATGTGTAACATGGCTCGTGTACTTACCTATATACGTATACGTATTTGTATACAAAAATAACAAGAAACGTGGTCTTACGCCTTTTGTTAATCGTTGTATTTGTCTTGATTCAATTCGACGACGGTTAAAAAAATGATTATTAATTTAAAACGGCTTCAAAACATACTGAATCGGGATGCCTCATTCGGGGATTTATATACGCTCTCTTTGTAACGTTCTTCGGTTGACTTGCCTACTGCGGTACATATTTTATTGTGGTATAAATGTTTTCACTCCTCACCATTTCGTGTTGTATCAGCTAAATTCCCGGCCTCCCGTAGAACTGGGAACTGTGTTTTGTGTACATTTTATGCGCAAATGTCATTGATATAATAAATTATAATAGGTACGTCATGCACACACTAGTAATATCGTTCAACCGATTGTGATTTGATGTTGTTCGTTTCGAGCGGTCCGTTGGAATCGTTTCGACCGACGGCTGTTTGTACGTGAAGTGTGTACTGCGTTTATTCTACGCTAATACCGTTTAGGGGACAAAAAAAACATGTTTCGCTATTACATAATATTGTTCATACGTAGATGCTAGATAGGTGATATGTATACCTGATAAAATGCGTATCCGTACGTCTGCCTATCTTTGACGTGACAAATAACGACTAACCACCGGGTAGATTATACTGTAATCACGCTAATTGTTTTACACGTAGCTTAATTTAATACTAAAGAGTTTTATTTTATACACCATGTGCACCTCTACTAGGTTTATTATTATCAAACAATTTTGACGTATCGGATTATCTTGTATTCGAGGCAAAGCCATATTGGTATACAAGATTGGATTGAAACCCGATTCAAAAACTTTCAATAATTTATTAAAAAAAAAATTATTAAAGCTTAGAAAAATATAGAAATTATAAGTGAATAATGTGTACAACACGGACATACAGTGTGGGTGCTATGGAGCAGGTAAAAACGTTAACACCGCCAATAACGAAGAACGAGGTGGTTTAAGGAGGGGCGGGTAGTCGCTTGTATGGACGATTGGAAGAGGGGAAAGGGTTGGGTAATGGAAAGTGTACGCACCTTGACCTACGTCTTTGCGCATGCGCACCGACGTCACGTTTGTAAACGTCCGTTGGCGGAATTCAAAAACTCGCGAGCGCCCGCCGCTGTCGAGGGAACTATTACTGCCGCGTCTTCGTCTTTTCCCTACCCGTCGCAGCAGTGTTGTCGTTCCCGCCGATCTGTGCGTCCGCGTGCATTGTCGTCGTCCGTCGTTGCTCGCGATCCAACTCGTGGCCGTTCTGTAGGTGACCATAATAATATTAAAATAATGTAATATTGTTGGTGATATTTTTGTGCACACGTGATAATTTTTTTCTCTTGTTAAAATTGTGTTTTTTTTCCATACCAAAATATATATTATTATATTTACAGTGCGCCGCAAAAAGTGCCGTTTTATATTTGTTTATTGTACGTTTTTTCGTTTTTAATATATTTTAAAGTGTTAAATGTTAAATTAAAATAGTTGATATTATCTAAATAGTATTGCACAGCTACTTCATTCATTATATTTAACAGTTTGTGTATTTTTCGTTTTTTTTTCTTTTAATAATTTTAAAAATCTAAGGACATATTGTTAGAACGAAACAAACAGCTAAATGGTATTTATATTCATTGCATATAATTATTAATATTATTATTATGTCTTAAATCCGACGAAGTCTTTTGCAAACACCAATGCGCTGTGTAATTCTTACATTTAATTTATTGGTTCTGAGTATTCGATTGACTGGAAAGTGTTAACCTTATATATATTTAAGTATATTTACCTAATGAGTAGGTAATAACTAATAAGTAATAATAAATCTTAGTATTATTCTAAGCTTAATAGTTTTTGATACTAATAAATGAAACATTATATTTTTAACTTAAATGTTATGCCAAGTAAGTGTTATTTAAAGTTATTGATTATATCTGAATGAATTTAAACACAGATTAAAAAAACATATTCTTATATAAAATATGCATTAGGTTGTTAGAAGTGTTGTTTGATTATGTATCGATTTAAACTAGTTTACTCAAAATTAAATAATAAACATCGTTACACGACGAATATATGATATTAAACATGTTCTAGCTATTATTGATTACATTCATTATATTCAAATAGTAAAAAACAATTTCCAATATTCTTTCGTTATATTCAAAAACGTATGGTTCATTTATTAATTTGGGAATATTTTTGATAATTAATTTAAAATAGAGCCATTTAGTTAAATTATATTTTTAATTCTATATAACTTAAATTTATAATTGAATAAAAGATTAATTACCATATATTTTTATATTTAGTACCTATGAAATGATAGATATTAAGTTGTTAGTTATTTTATTTAATAATCTTTTTTTTTTTCATAAGTTTTCAAACAAATATATTAAAAAATAATTTTCTCATGCTACACTTAGGGTATGTCGAATGCGAAACGTCAAAATAAACTAGTAATATATCTAGGTATACTTAATTAAGATAAAACTGTTAAAAGTACTTATGTTTTCAGCACAAAAAAAATTATACATTTAGACATTTAATTCAGTTGCCATTTATAAATTCATAAATCTTAATATTTTAAATTACATTACAAAATACATCTTCTTAAAAAAATTGATTATTGTATTTATTTTTATTTTGAGTAAAGTATCTATTTAAATTTTAAATGAGTGAATTCTATAAATACGATTTAGATTACATATAAATTATTTTTGCCTTGATACATAATCGTTGAACTTTAGGTATCAAAATTGTATCGTAAATCATACACAAAATTATTTCATGCTATTTTATTAATTTTTATTGTTATTGTAGATGAATAATAACAATGTTCAAAATTTGAAACATTATTTCAAAATATAATAATGATTTACGTTCATATAATATTGTTAGTTTAAAATTCCACATGCATTTTAATATTAATCTATTCCACTATGTACATTAGTATGAATTTAGTAAGGTAACAATGTAGTTTTGATATCTCTCGTATCAACTGAAAATATTTTACCATCATAACTTGAGATATTTATTTAATTTTTATAATCACCACAAGCATTAGTGTTTTGGGTTGTATTTAAGCGACGAAATGTTAATAAAATACAACCTTAGAGAAAAGTAATTGAATTACAATTATTACCACGAAAAAAAAAATATGAAAATTTGCTTACAAGGTATACATAATTTGACACTTAAATAAACACATAGGTCTTTATGTGACCGGTGGTACGCCCACATGCTTTTTTTTTATCTCTTCTTCGTTTACAGATACCGGAAAATGAATACACTTCATATAACTATGGCCTAAAAGATTCCACACCTGGTGACTTGATAGTTTTTGCTCTACCAAAAACGCTTTGTTAAACAGAACCGACTGTGCTCACATTGAATGGGCCCCGCAAATGATACCTATGTATAGAGTTCAATGACAAAAATATATCGAAAACTCACATTGTCGTCTCATCGCCCCCGTTGATCATTGCTATTTGCTGGCAGCAAGGCTATACGTATTATCACGACCCCGGCGGCGTTCGCTGTTCACGATCCTTTTCATGTGTATTTATTAAATGTGGCTTTCTCTCATTCAAATCGTTTTCCAGCAATCGTAAGAATAAGTTATACACTCTTTGTTACGTTTTTCTCGAGTGATATTATTGTATAGATAAAAACGAATTGTGTAGGTACCCACATCCGTTTTCATGTTTCATTTCTGATAATTTTCTTTCTGCATGGTAAACTTACCGTAAAATATGCAAACTTACCGTCTGCCCATTGATGGTTTTAAGTAGTTAATGATGATAAAAATTAAAGGTTTTCATGGTATTACCTTATATTTGTCCTCGACATTTGACATTTAAAGTATACTTATATGACGAGGGGTTTGTCTGGGTAGATCGATATCTAATAATATATATCATATAATAATGTGTTCACACATTTTTTAAAACATTTACTCTCAACATACTTTAGATAATTTTTTTTTTTTTTAATTAAATACATTAAGTTTAGTTAATTTAGTTGTATGTCAAATTAAGTCATATTTAAGAACTTTTATTTATTAATATATCATCAATGTAAATGTAAATTTTATAGAACCCAAAACCTTTGAGTGAAATAGATTTCAACCGAGTTTCAACAATTTTGTACCTATACAGTTTATTTTAAACAGTTAAATATTAACTTTTATACTTGTAATAATACCTATAATAATTGTGTTATTCGATTTATTTTAATTTTGTCCTTCAATAAATGATTGTCAATAGACAATATAAAAATTTTTTTTTTAATAAAACAAAAAATGACAGATAATTTATCCCAAGGCCACCTTTGAAACGAGTGATTATTTCTTTTAATGTTTATGGACAATTCGTCATTAAAAAAAAAAACACTCCTCTTCCGGTTATTTTGTTATCACTGTACTTTCTTTCAGAGTTTTGTCACTATTGTTGCCTAAAAAACCCAATAATTTACTCATAGCGGACTAACGCCCACCATGTATGTTGGCAAAGGTATTGGAAAGGACCCTGACATTTTTATCGAAAATCGTTCTATATTCTTTGGCATACAATCATGACATATAGTCATATTTGGCTAATATTATCGATCATTTCTTTCACTGTATCGTAAGTGTCTATTTTCATAAGTGTTGGGCGTGGATTTAACCTCAATTTTTCAATTTGTTCGATTAAAAGTTGAAACCATAATAATATATATTCTATATAAATAACTAATAAGTATAAAAGTATAATATATTTATTCATATTATTAACTATAAAAAATAAAAAATTGTTTTTTTTTACTTTTGTGTAAGAACATCTTAGTTGTTTACATGCTAAATTTTAAGCAAAATAAAAATAATATCACATTAAACTACGAATCTGTTTAAAAATACAATACTAAAATATGTTAACCAAATATTTTAATAAGGTGTGTTTCTTTATCTTTATAATATTAGGGTAAACGCCCGTCAAACGGTTAATGACCTATCAGTAGTTATATGAGTATAATTTTCCTGAAGAGGATACATGTGTCTTCCTTTTTTAAGATAAAACCTTCATAACACTACGTATTGGTAATTGCCCGTTGTTTGTAACGTTGACAGAGGGAAAAATGGTACCAATCCGGTTGTCACATTCACAACCATAACCGGAATAACGGTAATGACCGCGAAAAGTCATTGACGTAATTCTAGGTTATTGAATTGCTTATTTCATTCTTGTAATAATTGAAGAAATCCATTCTAGTTACTAAATAGCAATATATTCATACATTCTGATAAATTAACACTTCAACAACAGAATAATATGTAAATAACCTTTATTATTAAACGTTAATAATTGTATATTCCTATTACACATTTATTTGAAATTTCACACTTGAATCATCATTATACAGTAACGATGGTGACTAATTGTATTAATAAAGCAAATTAAAAGCAATATATTATAGATTCGGAGAACAATTAATTAAAGATCTAACATAATCTGAAATGATTGTTTTGTCTGCAGTATTTTATTTTACTAGATTTAATGCTATAAAAATACCTATAATTTTTACGTAATAAAAATCAATAAGTATATAGTTATCTGCTGTAGAATAAATTTAATATTATTTTAAAACACAAAACTTTAATTTACGTGATATTATTATGTATACATTTTAAAAAGCGATTGCCTTACAATTTGGCATTTGCATATATTTTTATGTTTAAAAATAACTTTGAAATAAAATAATATTTTATAGGCACTGTATTAAATTTCAAACGATGATTATGTACAAAATGTTATTGCATTTGTGACATTTATAACTAAAATTTAAAAAAATGTACACAAATATGCAATTATATAATACGATACAGAGGATATAGGTAGGTGCAATGTATAAATATTATGTTGTATATAATTGCTTGAAATGAAAATATGAAAAATAATGTGCTCACTGTTTAGGTTCTACCTTACCACTTATAACGTATAGGTATTGCGTGCGTATAATAGTATTTGATTATTTTTATATTTTAATGAGGTTTTTAGTGACTATCTGCAACCACTGAAGGTAATTTTTATATTAAAAATAATGTTATTTTAGAGGAAATAGATAAAAAAAAAAAAAAAAAAATTAATAAAAAGTTCGTTGACATTACGGATATTGGTAATAGAAATGGCAAAAGGCTTCATCGGATTTTTATATTATCGTGTCCAACTCGATTCATATCATTGTACCACCACTACTATCAACCACTACCGCCGATTCTCTAGCACCAAAATTGGTTGCTGTTCATCATTGCAGCGATGCATTGAATATTGATCACTCCTCATATTTTGAAATTTTCCACTAGACTGTCGTCGTTATGTCGGTACAGCAATTTTTCTAACTTGCGTCTATTGTTTTATTGTCTACGGCAGACCCAACGAAGAATGTGTTATACATATTCGATTTTACATAATATATTTGTATACTCGCCGTATTGCGAATAAATATTATATCACAATGTTTGTCCAAACTTATATTCGCAAGTTAATCTGTCGATCAGAATTTGCAATTTCTATAATCTATAATAATGTAATATATATATTATATATATTTATTGTACACATACATAGAATCGGCTGTGGTGGACATGTGTGGAGGACTGGGTCAATACCATATTGAGGCAGTATGGAAAGTATATTTAACAACATAATATAGTAAAAAAAAAAAAAAATACAAATGTAATCATTAGATATTGAGTTGCATTTTATCAGATTTTACTGATAACATTTTTACATTTTTCTGATAATAATGTATTAATAATTTGAATACCCAGTCCTTATAAATTGTTAATTGTTTATTGTGCCTTAAAATGGTTTGATCTAGTCTACGTGTGGTGCATTTGAAACTATAAAAAAAGACCTTTTTCATAAAGAAAAAAATGTATACATGCAGACTAGGGTTTCAACGGATATAATGTGAATACTGGAGTACTAGAGAAGCATTGTTCTATAAGTTCAAATGTCGCCATATAGCAGGGAACACCATACGGCCGTTGTAGCGCCTGTTTCGGCGGTGTCACCTGTGATCGAAGAGTTTGGCAGCAACAAGAAAGACGACGCCGCTGCAGCCGCTGCCGGTGGATTACCGTCTTACCACCGTAAGTACTCGGAATCTGGAAAACCCACTGCCGGATATACCAATGGGTTCTCGTTGCTCCGCCGATTGTTGCGTTGGTGGCTTGCCCGATTTGGTCAGAAGCCGTTGGTTAAAAAAGGTATGTCGAATTGATTTATTATGTATGTATATCGTAAAAATTAGGGTGATTTTTATTAACATATACATTTTTAATAAATAAATAAATATATTTTTTGAATATTTTTTTATTTCATCTCACTTCTTGAATATATTTAATTAATTTAAGTTTTTAAGTGATTGAAGAAACTTCTTCACGTGATGCGCAAAATTATTTAAAATATACAGCTCAATGAGTTGTAATTTGTATATATTTGCTTATATTTATAACCGATTTACTATTAATATTTAATACAATTATAGGTAACTATCATAAAAATTATAGTAAATATGATTATTTACAAAATAACTTTTTCAGGTAGGTTAGTAATTAAAAAAAATTAAAATAAATACTTTATTTATGTTTTCGAAATTTATAAATTCTATAATTTAAAAATATTGTACTTAATTATTTTGCATGAAATATTATTATAATTATAATAATATATAATAATATATTGATAATTATTAATAATAATTAATAAATACACAGGATGATTCCTATTGAATATCATTCTTATTCCCAAAATTTTCTATTTTGTAGACCTTCCAGTATCTTATAGTAAACACAAATTATTTTTATATTATTTGTTTTCTAAACATTAAAATAAATAATTTTTTCCTTGATTGTCGGTAAAAATAATATAAACTAAAGTCTTTATATTTTGTATGATATTATCTGATATACAATGAAAAAATTATTACATATTATGTACGTTGTACAATATTTATTTGTCTCATTTTCCGTCTATTGGCTTATATTGAGATAATAATTTATATGTGATGATATACGTGTATGTTAATTATCGTATATACGTTACACGGCACGTGGTTACTTAGAAGTTGTTCGACCCGCTTACTAGTAATCATATGTAATTATTAGTTATATGTCATGTTTAGTCACTTTAGCGTCATATGTCGTATAAAAAATTGTATATATAACAAATACGAATGCAAATAATAAGTGTATGAGACATGAGTACTCGCTGATAGCGAGACGTATTTGCTATTTGGTTATCAATCGCAATTCATGATACGACTTCAATGTCACCTGTGTATAATAATACTCGTATGTGCGGTTTCAAATTTAACTTTGTTTTTATTTTTTTTTTTTGCGTATATTGTTAAATTTTAACATCAAGAATGTATAACTACATTTTTTATCACCAACAGATGTTGCTTTAGACAATAACATTTTTCTTTATTTATCCGCAACTGCAATCTAAATGATTATCTGGGTGTTTATGTTTGTACGATTATTTATATTCGTTTATATTTATTTGAATATTATAAATAGCCAAGTCAAAATATAGATTAAACAATATTCTGTCGACACTATGATATTCCCGTAATGTTATTTTTTTGTTGTATATCTATATGTGTGTATGTGTTTTTCCTGCTTAATCCAAGGTTGTAATAACCATTGTTTTTTGTATTTTTTTTTTTATGATATGTGTATTAATTTTTTGATTATCATTCAATTTTACAATAGATACAATTAAAATAAAACTATGTATAGTCATATCGTATATTATCTGCTGCTAGTCTCGATACATCTACTCTACAGTATAAGTAATATAATTCTAATTAAAAGTACATACTATATTTTTTGTTTAAGCCATCATGATTAAGACGCGTATACATTTTAAAGACATTATTATACCTAAATTAATTTTAACTAATCTTCGAAAACAATTCACAAAAACAATTTCGAAATTGTTTTTTATTATTTTTCAGAGTTCTAGAGAGTATAAGAAACAAATTAATTTGTTTCAGTAACTACTAAGATTATCATTTTAAAGCTTAGGACTTTTTCGGCTTTTAATGTGTATGATTGTATGCATTAAATAATGATAAAAATAAAAATATAGTTAAAACATATTAATTATTTTGTCATTGGTGTATTTTTTTTTTTTTTTTTTTTAATCGATTTTTTAAAATTCTTTAGTATTATTTTGAAAAAATAATATTTGAATAGTTCAAAGTACGAGTGCACAATAAATAAATATATTCTAAAATTAATTAATTATAAAGTAGTTTGGGCGTGTAATAGTTGCAATATTTCGCTATTTATAATTATTAACCTATTTAATTGATTAATATAAGTACATAATTTACGCTACCACTTGAATTTATTAATATATTTTAAGATCACCTGTTAAATTTCAATCGATTAATAACTATTAACGTTTAACGAAGTACTTTGTTGTTTTAAATCATTTTATCAATTGCACAACGTAAAATCCTATTATGTGTTATTGATCAAATAATAAAATAATTGTTTTACAATTGTTAAATAAAAGAAAGAAGTGAGTGTTTTATGCCAAAATTAAAGGTTAACATAACGGTTAATAAATTTGTTTAGTACAATGACCGACACTCGAGTATATCAGTTAGAATAAACCATGACTTTAAATGACATAACCTCCATTTAGAAAGTTACTGATGTAGGTCAATTAGGACCAATCAAATAAAAATAAATAATTTAGTAAGTTATTATAAATCTTATCTATAATATCAATAATAACATTTGAATGGTTTTAGATAAGTTTATTTTAATTCTACCGGTTTCTATGTAGGTACATAGTGTGACTAGTGTGTACTACACTATATATATATATTATGTTTAATTGATGCCACATTATTTATGTATTTTACAAGATCACCTATAAAATATTTTACAATCTTTTCGTCATTAACCGTGTATTATAACAAAAAACTTGAAAAATATACTTTTAAGTGAATTTATACTTATAACATGAAATAGGTACATATAATACTTTCATATTTAGCAGAAGCATATATGTTTTACGATGAAATGTATTTTTTTTGTTCCACTAATGCTTTTCATACAGAGTATAGTCTGAAGACCTCTGTTTCAACTAATGCTGTGCACTAAAACAACGGCCGCTTAGGAATACTATACCGTAATATAATGGTGCTGCTTTTTTAATTTGTCTTATTACCTAAAATGTTACGCTACACGAATATTTTAACCATCATAATTATAGACTAGCGGATATTATGCTTAACGCAGTTATTTGTGGTATGAAACTTACCTACCGCTATAAGACCGTAATCAGTCAATACTGCATTGCAATATCTGTAGTAGTTATCATCGATTTACCGTTTATTTTTTAACCGCCATCGCAGGTGGTTAATCACCATCGACTGTAACTTTAGTAATCAGCTGTTAATGAAAAATATTAAAATTTAATATATGGATTACTGATGCATTTATGCATATACACAAGTTAGTTAAAGCGTATTTCGAATTTTAGTAACTAAATAATTCTGCGTGAATTTGAAACTCATAGCTAAGTATAAATTAATTTTACCAAAAAAGAGTTTTTTTGCTTTACAAATTAAAAATTTAAATGTTTAGATTTACAATAAAATTGTTTTATGAGTTTGTAGTAATTTATTGGAAAATTCATAGTTTTACTGCAAAGTACTGATTGCTGAGAAAACTCATTTTTCACATATTTTTTTTTTTTAGAAAAAATAGTTTGGTTAAAAAAATCTTAATATTTGCATGGTAGCAATTTCTTACTAAACTTTTTGCAATTTGAGTACCTTTACATAAATACTCAAAATCATTATATTATTTATTATTTTGTAGATTGCTTTTTAGTTATAATAATAAATAGCAACCTGTGTGACATAATCATATACCTATAACATGTACTTCGATTCTATTATTCAATTGTAATTATACATTTATGAAGATTTGATCATTTGAAATTATTGACTTGGTGTGTATTTTCTATTTTATAAATATTATAATTTAATAATACAGTTTTATGTATAAAATCTTTATCACGATTTAGTACTTTCGAAAACAATTTTCAAACAAAGTTAATCAACTAAAAACCTCCTTTTTATTATTGTTAATAATATTTTATTTTTATTTATCTTTAAAGTTTTTAATAAAAATTCTAGCTTTTGTGACCAACGTATGATAGTACTTCGTAGATTTTTTCGAGTGTTTTCGTCTTTCGATGACTCGCCAATATCAAACTTAAATTGAATAAAACATTGTACACTATAATAACATACATATATTAAAATGATCTACACAAAATAGTGGCCTACTCTACGTTAAGAATATATTTGATTCTTATCATTCATACTTTTTATGCATCTCTTAGCTTATCTAGGATCTTCAGATCTTACTATTTTACTTACATTTTTTATTCTATTAATATTTTATTGTACTTACGTTAAAGATTCTGCAACATATATATTTCTTATGATACTGTTGTACCTAATTATATGCTAAAATATACGAATAATACATTATTCAGTTACCTTCGAAGACACAGATAAGAAAATTAATTTTCGAAAGGCATTCATAACTATTATTATCATTTGAATAATTTAGTTACCTATAAGCTTTAGTAAATTATTTTTCAATTAAGAAAAACTATTGAGATTAAGCTTTATGCACAACATTTATTTGTACCATTAAATAAGGTACAATACAGTATACTGGTTTAACCTTTATACTGTGTAAGTAAATAATGTGTTTGTTGTGAATATTATATTATTGACGTCAATCGTATGTTGCGTTAATTTTTTTTTTTTTTTTTTTGTTATTGCTCAGTTAATGTATTGTGTTGTATTATGTGGTCATTGGCTCGTAAACAATGTTGGCAGAGAAAAACAGTAGTTTTCATTTCCCGTTGGAAATATTAAATTCTCGAGAAGTGGAAAATACACATTTTTATTATATGCTATACATAAAAATAATGAGTAATGCCTTTTCAAACTATACATAATAGATAGCATCATTTTTTCGATAAAATTACAGCACATGTAAATTTAAAAATTCGTGTATCTTAACTTTTTTACATTAGGAAGAAAGTAAGGAATGATAAATTTCCAAATGGTTGTTGTGGACAATGGTTTTTAACAAAAAATAATCTTATTGTCTTATAAATTTAATTAGTTTTGTACATATACTATACTGTACGTAATTAC